GAAGAAGTTGATTGCTGATTTTTTTATGAACTCAACTATTGTGGGTAGCTGGAAGTCTTGATGAAGTGCATCGTTGCGTACAAACCATGGGGCATTAGAAATGGTTCTCAGAACTTTTGATTGAAAGATTTGTATTTTATGTATGTGGGTTTTTGCACAATTTCCCCACACAGGGGATGCGTAAAGAAGTAATGGTCGTAGTATTTGAAAATATTCTTAAGTACTAGGTATTATGTATTATTCGCATACAAAAAATTACATAGACAACCCRGCCACCCACCTTTTTTTAAAGGTGTAGCAATCAATCGTTACACTTCTACTCTAGGATAGCCGCCACTGGTGTGAGGCGGACATCTCTGTGCGGCAATGGCAGGTGGTCGTAACAAACCATAGAACTATTATAAGCGTATAATAATAATAGTCAATTTTGATACTTTATTATTGGTTTTAATATCTAATACAGTTTACCGAACGTTGCATATTATAGTACCTATTCCAGTACCTAACACAATCATCAATTTATTCKTGTTGTTTTCGATTTGTTTATGTAAAATAGTTTGGTCCATGTGAGTATTTGACCATTTCCATTTGCTCACTATACCTACAACGACTTTCGTAGTTTTCCCAATCACGAAAAATCGAAAACACTTTAAAAAAAATAGCCATTTTATGAGCGCAAACATTTTTTKATTTGATATGATAATATTGGTTATTAGTAATAAACTAATAACTAATAACTTATTACATAGTAATCGTATTGTACCCACTTGATGTAGTGTCTTGTACACAATATGTATTTATATTTTCATGCTATTTTTATATTTTGGACAGAGATATTTATTTTAATGATTTAATTGATTCGATTAGGTACTTATGTACAATCAATAAACCTAAACAAATGATAGATAATGACGAATAGTTCACGTGTAGTTAAAATCATGGTTAGGAATCCGTTTTACTTTCAATAAATTTAGTATCTTCCAATGGTTTTCTAGTTCCAACGCTTAGTGAACAAATTACTTATTATGAACAGAATACGCAAGGAAAACTGAAATTGAAGGCCTCGGTGCAAAAACCAGATACGTCCACATTTTTAAAAATCGTTTTTTTGTTATAGAAAAGTTCAGAAAAAAAATCTCTATCGATGGGTGCAAAAACCGAATACGTCCGATGAATAGTATTGAAATAAAATGATAAAAATTAATTTTTAAATTTCTGTTGGGTGCAATAACCAGATACGTCCGGACGTATTCATTGAAATAGTATATATTATCCATTTTTTTGTTCCCGACACTCCCATGTAAATTTTGATTTTTCATTGATTGCAATAACCAGATATAAAGAGTTATATTTTTATACATTAGCATAAAATTAATATAAAGTTGTATTTTATTTTATTTTAATATATTTTATTGTTTGTTGGAGTCTTCTGGTACAGCTTTTTGGTGATCATTAAGTATTGTTATTATGGTATCACTGTATTTAATCAAATAATATTTGATACAAATTCACATTGGTGTATTATCAGTACAAATATTTCAAAAATGAATTCTTATTTCCTGGTTGTTATGTTTAGTCTAGTGTTGCTAGTTATAACAGATTTTATAAAATAAATAGATTGTGTACTAATATTTTGCAGGTACATTAAAGGAAGGTGTATTTAATAATATAAATGGTCTATATTGTTCCCTTGAGTTATGGCATAATCACTAATTAACAATTTAATTAAAAAATAACTTAATAACATAAAAATACATATTTGTATTAGTTAAAAATATAGTAGGATTATTATTTGACATACATAATAATAATAGT